GGAATATGCAATAATAAAAAAAATTGTGGGTAGAATTCAGTCCATGGATAATAAACCTTAAAAAATTAATACAAATTTAAAATTTGGTTATTTGTTTGCCAAAACTCCAATCACAAAATGAAAGCTCATCCCTCTAAGACAGCCATGTAGTTTTGCTAGTAGCAGCTCTAAGAAAGTCTCAAGCCTTCGTTTCAATGTTAACATGATAACCACATCTGCAACAAAGGAAGCTACTCTCATGACATTTTTGGTTCGGTTGGTCTTGACACTCATGAATTAAAAACATATAAGTTTTCACTCTAGAGAGAATGTGCCCTCCCTTATTCTCCGGCATATAAAATGCAGGAATTGATGTTCAGCACATCCCGTAAGATATCCAGACTTTAACATAATCAACCTGTGCCAATGCCTTCAGCTCGATGGCTACACTAATCCATCAGTATTTTGCTATAAGAGTGTGCCCTTCGTCTCGTGGAACCTTCATCTCTGTGTTTTTCTGAAGTATCACCCGGAAGATTCACTGACGACATGGACAACTCGACAGACTCTCCACGTCACCCCTTGACTCTCCACACGAAGGATCTCCACGACAACAAAGCCGGTAGCGATTCCATTGGCGACTTTTCACAACGTCGCGAACCCTGGACCGCGACGGTCCTTGTTTCGTTTGGGTGGCCACTTTTCACGTGGCCCCCCTATCGTCGCAGTCGCGATCGAGTTCGTACCGAGGGTTTCTCCAGTTGTGCAGGTTAAGGGGCCGGTGAGATAAAACTGATACTCTGTATGTGGCTGTATACAGTGCGCGGTTGTACAAATCAACGAAAGTTGAGCACGGTTGTGTGGAAGATGCTCCAGGCTGTTATGTTAACCTATTCCATGGCCACACCAAGATTCGTACCTCCAGTTTGTAGACTCCTCACGCTTTGGAATAATCTGGCGACCTTACATCTTCTATTATTCAGCCAAAAGATTGGATTCGTTCACCTTGCGATGCGACCACAACTCTTCTTGGTCGCAATCTCGTTGGCGTCCTTGCAAACATAACTGCAGTAACACCCCAGCCCAGTACATGGTACACGCTGCCATTCCCGTCGTCGCCATCCTTCCAAGCGCTGGAGTCTGGGCTGGGCCCCATCTAACCTGCGACCTCTCTCGGGTTCTTGTAAATCCGGAAGTAAATCCAGGATGGAACACACATCGTGCGGTAAAAGGATGAACCCAAAGGATCCCATGGGTCGCCCCAAAATCATCGCAACGGGGTACATGTACTCTCACGGGTCCTCGAAGTTGACATCTTTCTCTCCGACCTCCAACCATTTCTCACGGACGGACCCACATAATTAACGACCTCTAAGGAGTCCATCTTGGCCTTGGCACATCAATTACATGGAGGTGTATCGACACTACTTCAGTGGTTTGATGCATTTTCGATGGTTAGGAATAATAGCTTTTGCTAGTATTCAGTATGTTCATAGTTTTACTATCTTGTTCAAAATGGATATTCCATTTTTCCTATTTTTAATTCTATTTGAAAAGAAGGTAAAGTTTATGTACAAAATTTGTCTGCGCTCTTTAGTAAATTTCAATTAGTTTTTATGACATTTGATTCACTTGTCAAACATCTCTGTTGTCCTTGGTTTTTTATTCAATTAGAATAAAACTAGAATATGAATTTTTTTTGAAATGAAATTTTGAATGTATTAAATTTTTAAATATTGATAATCAGCAATCACTCTTGTGATTTGAGATGTTTAGCAAGTGAGTGAAGACACATCTTGTGGTGTATAATTGTTGTTCTAATTATGAACTCTCTTGTTCTAATGAAAACTAATAGAATAATATATAATGTGTAATGTGGTTACAATTTTTTCCTTGCATGTTAGATGTGTAATTTAAAATTTTCACTTAAGAGAACGTATGTACATATGTAATTAATGAAATCACATGAAACTTCATCTTTTTGACTATCATAGAAGCTATAAATGTCATTTCACTTTCATAGCACAATATGATCATTATTCACGGAAAAAAATTGGTTTTGAAAATAGTAAAGATGCATTTTTTTAATCAAAAGTTTACAATCAATCAATTTTATCAACGCATTCAACTTACGTATTGATCAAAAAAATTTGTTTGAAAATTTTTAAGATATTGCACTACTTTGCAAATTTTGCATAAAGAGTTCAGGTAAAGTTGCCGAGCAAATTTATTAATTATATATATGATTTTATCCAACACATGTGATTTGGTTTGAATTAACTCAAGTTTAGAAAATGACCTATGTTTATTTAATTGTTTTTTTGCAGAGTAACTATTTCATTTATGGGGTTGTTTGTACTTTAAATGTATTTACTGTTTGTACTTGAGTTAGGTCTTGTTAACTGAGGTTAGTGATATCTTAGTTGGATAGACTATGATGAATTTTTTAGTATATGGAAAAGCTGATCGTAGTTCTTTGATACACAAATTTAGAATTTACAGGTAAGCTTTACATGTAAATTCTAAGTTTGTTTATCAAAGAACTACAATCAGCATATTTCTTTTCGTGAACATAGTTTTCTACCAGTTGAACCACATGTTTTCATTCGTCAATTTTTTTTGAATTCTGAGTTTTTCCTTTCATAATATTTTCAACATGTTTTTCAAGTGATATTAAAAATATATGTTTGACATGATTTTAAAATAAAGATCTTGATGAAAGAATTTTTCAATAAATGAACATTACGCTTAATCAAATGATCCATGTTACTTAACTTGGTTGATATTTGAATAAGACTTAAATCATGATATACACAGTGACATAAATTATACGTTGTGATTAAATGTAGTTTATAAAAAATACTAAATATTTTTCATATAATTAAGAGCAGATTATATTATTTAAATTTAAGGATGTAATTTTAGCAATAAAATATTTTGACATATCATTGTTGATTCTTTTTTAAGGTCCAATCACAAATAAATAAATAAATCATATAAAAAGCTTATCATGATGGATGGATTTTAAGAAAATAGTATATCTAATGATTAGAGGATATATTTCAAATATTTTTATTTTTTTGATTATTTGGCTATAAAATTTTTTAAATATCAATAAATTTTCTTCATGTCATTTGTTGAGACTTGAATGTTGGAAAAATTATGAAAAAATAAAAGAATAATAATTGGATATATCTTGAATTATTTATTTATTTATGTCGACTTTTAGATACATTTTCACATCCAATCTGTTATTTATTTGAAAAAAATTTCAAAATGTAGGGCAAAAAAAGAAGAAGATATATTCATAATTAAAAAAATAATAAAATTTTCTCCTATATGTTTTCCCCTCTGTATTCGTATGTTGAATTTTAGGATCATTTTCGTATCCAGTCTATTATTTAGTTGAAATAAGTTTCAAAATTTCGTGCAAAAGAAATGATCAAAATAAAGAAATAAATTCAATAAAAAAATAAAATTAAAAGTCCCCTAAATCATATTCTTTAAGTTGCCTCTTAAAGTCATATTTACTTCCAATCTATTCTTTAGTTGAAACAAGTTTACATTTATCACGGAAAGAATAAAGAAGTCTTCAAGATAATAATGTTTAAGAATTGAACATTTTTAGTATAGGTTTACTAACATGATTAAAAGATGGATTTCAAAATTGCTTTGAATAATCTGAATCGATCTTTAATTTAATAGTTGAGATAAAAATCTTTAAGTTTATTTCAGCCAACATCTTTATTTAACATACAATAGTGATCGATGTCATTCACAAGAGATCAATCACATTGCATGATTTTTCTTGAGATACTCGAGTAATATGTGAACGTGTTGATACTCGTAGATTACATCAGTATTCTGCTTGACTAATATGTAGATGGTTCGATCTACTTAATGTTGATGTTTGACATCAACTTGTACGTCAACTGCAATGTGATGCCATTGAAGTCTTGACTCATACTCTCCAATTATTTTCATCCGTCAATTACTTGTAGGGGTTTTTTATATTTGTTAGATGAGTGGTTTTGGTGATGCGGTTTCAAGGGGCATAAGTAAACTTGTTAACGGGAGGGGGAAGAGTGAAGTTCTACTCTTGTTCTAATACAGGTATTAGAGAGTAAACATGTTTGAAAAATATTCTATGCAGATGTACACCATACTGGAAATCACGGTTTTTTTATTGTAGAATATATTTCGACGAAGTACTTTTTAGCCTTCAATTAATAGAATATATTTCTCAATATCCCTTTTCACCTCTTTTCGCTATATTACTCGGTGTCCGCCCTTGTTCGGTATGTTACACTGTACACGAAAGACAGAGATGGAGGAGGTTAGACCTGCGACCGAAGACGGGGCCTACCTCTCGAACCTGCGACACGTAGGCTCCGAGGTCATTATCATCCAACTTTCTAGAAGCGGGACATATCGAACTTGCGACAAATCCAGGACCCCACAGCGGCCTCAACCTTAACCCGAGACTCCCAAGGCTCTCACCTCGGTCGCCAGCGTGGTTAAAGAGAACGCCCGATGGATGTGGCATGACAAAGTGAAGAGTCGCCGAGATAGAAATGGCCTCGGCCCATCTGCTCCACAGAGACAAAGGGGAGCATTTACCGACAGGTCATCGGCGGCCGACCCGCTGCTGACCCGGGGCAGGGTAACCGATAGTAGGGCTCAGGTCACGAGGACGAGTGCCCAAGTAACCGAGCTTCCAGAGCCGGGGGTCCGAGTAAATGTCTGGAGAGGGACGAAGTAGGAAAGGATGGCAAGAGGATGGAACCGGTGGGTAAATGGAGAAACGCATAAAAGGACCGGGGGATTGTACCTCGGGGACAACAGATGATGAATAAATATTGAATTAGTCAAAGGTCCAGTACCGAACGAAGGAAGCGGTTTCCCAAGCTGCTGGTCGTGCTATATTACCGGTTCCATTCGTTCGCCTCAAGATTCTGATTCTCGCTCCCGCTCCCGCTCCCGCGCCCGAAGTGCTGAATTTGCCTCCCGCCCTCCCGCCCTCCCGCCAGCCCTCCCGCGCGCCATTGTCCTGCGCTCGCGTCTTTGGTGGCCTGCGCAGCCAGCGCCTGTTCTTCGTCTGGTCCCTTCCTCATCTTTCGCTCGCTCGCTCGCGCGCTCGTTCGTTCCTTCGTTCGTTCGTCCGTCATTCATGGTGCCCTATATGCGAGAGTCGGCGTCGTGGCTGAGTTCATTTCATCATTTGGTGGTTGACGGGCTGTTTGGTGTGTGCGAGTTCTCGCTGCGGAGGAAGGCGGATATGGCAGTTTAGGGTACGCGCGGGGTGTGTGTGCACGAGAAGGTCGAGGCGATGGGAACGTCGGAAGCGGAAGGTATGGCAGGTGTGGCTTAGGACGCGCGGACGCAGCAGAGCAGAGCGGAGGAGAGTCGAGGAGGGCGAGAGGCTTCGTTCGAGGTGTTAAGGATGGTGCGGTGGGAGCGCGCGGCGAGGGTGATTTTGAAGGTCTTTGAACGGAAGGTTTGATTGGTGTAGGGCTTTGAAGTGCGGAATAGAGCTGAAGCTGAAGCAGAAGGTGGTACGAGGCATTGGGTGCAGGGCTTTTCTTCTGGCTGATGTAAGGATCAGTGAGTTGAGTGAGGGACAGGTTGTAGAGTGGAAGTTAGAAAGGAGAGGATATGGCGTCGGTTAAGAAAGATGGGTCACAGCTCGTTGAGCTTTTCGAGAAGGCTTCCAAGTCGGCGGACAAGGTCGAGGATGATGAGACCAACGAAGCTGAAGAGACCCGGTGCATCGACGCGCTCAAAGCTATGCGTGCCGTATCTGTGACCACCTCTATGCTTATGGACACCCAGGTATCTTTGGAACCCCCGTACATTGGTGTGAATGCAAGTCGCTTAGCGTAATTAATGTTTAATCACCAAGGCTTTAGCATTTATCACTTGTGATGAATCAAACCGGTAAATTTGGGCGATAATACTTTTTATTTTCACATTCTGCTCACAGCAACTTTTTGGAAACTAATTTGCAATAATGTATCCAGATTGAGTTTAAAGTGTGTACACATTTTCCGGAACAAGTGTTTCACAATTTTTTTCACAACAATTGCTGGCTGATTGTCTATTGGTTGATTGTCTATTCTCGTTCCTCTTTCCCTTGAACCTTTAGATCTTTAGGTGTGATGTTCTTTCTAAGAATGTCACTGACTAAGTTCTTTCCTGTGTGGATAGTATTATCCCACTGCAGAGAATTCTGGGAGTTACCGGGGTCCTGCATGCCAATTACAGCCCGTAAGAAACACAACTTGTGCAGCTTATGATTATTTTTAATAAGCACATCCACTTGTGAGGACTAGTGTTCAGTTGCTCCTTTTTATTGGCAACTCTGTCCACATAAGCCTCCGTGACGGTCTGGCAGAAAATCTTTTAGAGCCTTCTCGATTGTTAACTTTGCAGGGAGACTGTTGAGAGACAGACTGCCGAATGATAAGTCTATGATCGATAGCCATGCCAGCCTCTTTAAGCAAAATTCACGTATTCGTTGTTGCTCTGACTTGTACACAGGAGAAAAAATTTCCAAAGAAAATGGGAGCCACGGAATCTCAATCTTAAATGTTTCTGTCGTGTAAACAGCTTAGGATTACCTGAGCTTGAAGATTTCTCACGAAATATCACTTCATAATTTTTCTCTGTTCTCTTCACATAACGATCACATGAAAAGCCTTTCTGTTGGTTGCCATACAATTTGACTATTAGCTCCTGTCTAGGACAGTGAATGTTACTTGAGAATGTTCTGAACGTGAACTATGCACGGCTCGTTCTTAACCTGTTCGGAGAGTCTAAATTCAGTGATTGTTGCGATCAATTGCGGAATTCCTCCTAACTTTTAGGACTGCTAAACGTGGTTACTATTAGGCCTATACAGGGGTGAGGTCTACAGATTGATGCCATTAGCCGCCAAGTCCTACATTCTGTAAGACCTACGAGCTCATTTTTGGTCGGATAGCATGTCATAGCTGAAAATTTGTCCCGAAATTCTATTGTAATGGAGTCTATATATGGCACCTGCACATGGTTTCGGTGCACTCCTAAATAATGCAGAGCACATGAACGTGAGACATGTGGAAGCTTTAAATGATGGTTGAGTCCTTGTGCAGTTGCTCTGTAAGTAGACTTATTGTCGCTCGCAGAAAGACATATCTAAGTCTTGTCTCCTTAATTTGGTTGTACACAGTAGTTGGTTATTCCAAATACAATGTATGACGTCAATGATCTTTCGTGTAGCTACTGTCGAGAGCTGTATTCCTGTGATCATCATTCCGTGTTTTGATTATCCTCAATAATACATATGTCTTGAGAGACTTATGTATTATATGTTGCGGGGATTCATCTGTAATTTTCAAATATTCGTCACTGACATTTTCAGAGAGCCCAACGAGTTCTGTCACGGTTTTATGTTTCTTGTGATTCGTCACCTAATAGTTGAGCACGTAAGTGTATGTAAGTGGTGTTGTATTCTCGTCGCTGTTTCTTATTCTTGCTGTTGTGAAAATTGGCTTGGTTTCAATGCAATAGATTAACGTGGTTGTTATGCAAGAATATGGTAATCAGTTTACTCACCATAATATGTAGGTCTTGCAGTAAAGATCAAAAGACCTTTTTCCTTTTGCTACTTTAGTTTCTAGCCACACTTTCCTGAAGCGCGCCGTTTCCTGTCCGTGATGTTTTCAAGTGATTCCGCTAGTCCACTCGCCGTTTCTTGGCAGTTATTTGCTGAGGGAAGTGTTTTTTAAGCCGTATCTCCGATACCTCAAACAATTTCGCCAAGTCTCGAAGCTACGGTTGTTTGTCCGAACTTGCAAAAGTTTTGTTGTGTGGACATGTATCGCAACCGAGGGCTTTATGTTCATTGCGGGTAACCACTAGTAAGGTGCCAGGATTTCAAATTAGATTATAGAAAGGCTGATGTTAGATGTTACGCCTATATCTAGTCTTGGCTGACATCTAAAATGCTAAGTATTGTAGACTTCTTTGGCGATAAAATGAATAGCTCTATTCATTTTTCCCAGTCTTTTTCATTGCAGCCATATCCTTAATGAAATTGGTGAGGACACCACAGATACGCACTTTCAGTTTCTGGTTTTGTGTCTGTCATTTTTTGCTTTTCATCCAGGTAACTCGGGGACTACATTGCTCTTCCAGTCAATCAAGCAAAATTGCAGAATAGAAGTACTTCCTTTTTTGAGTGCTCGTGTTAATTCTTGGTTTGTTTTCTAAGTAACTGCTTAGGTGGTCATGCATGTATCTCCTTTTTCTCAGTGTCCTAACCTCTTGCCGGGATCTTTCAGAACTGTGAAGTTTGTTACCTCGGATCTTCCTATCTTTGTTTGTTTCCTAGACAAATCTAGGTCTGTGGCTGAGACCGTTCTTTAGAAGCATCCTCTTTGGCTTCCACCATTTAGTAATGTCGAGGCTGTCATATGTGATATCAAATCCTGTAGTGTGACTTGATGCATGAAAATGGCTTCAAATTCAAAGGTGCTCTGAGCGTTACGAGGCTTCTCTTCAGCTCAGCCCTGGAGGTATTGGGCATGTAATGCCTTGGTGTACATCTATAATATATTTCTTGAGGCCCAGCGGCCATGGTTTTGCAGCAGCGCCTCGTGAGATACAAAACCTTAGGCTGCAAGCTTTTGGTTTTTAAGAGCTTGCCAAAGCTGCAGGTTGCAGCTGGGAGAGACATCACGTGAGATGAACGACACAGAATGGGTAAACTCAGCAGTTAGCTCACATTAAGTGAGCAGATGGCTGAGTTTATTCCTTCGTTGGGATTGTTATTAACAAAGGAGATTGAACCTTTTGAATTTCTACCATTGCACGTTTATATCTTGCCTTTTGAACTCCGAAAGTGGATGCGTTTCTATCACTTGGTGTGGTCATCAAGTTTTAGGTCCCTTTCAGCCTGCCTGGGTCGACATTGTTAGTACCAAGAGAAGAAACTGCTTAACATGCAGACGATTGTCCATTGGTAGAATGCCTTTATTAATCTCGAAATTTTTTGCAGGTCGCCAAGCGCCTACGCAGACTCACGAAGCACAAAAGTTCAGAGATATCTTCTGTGGCTCAGGAGATCATAAATGCCTGGAGAAAGGTTGTTGCGGCGGAAGCAGCAGCTAAGAATGACGCTGCCAAGAGTGAGCCAACCTCTTCGAATAAGTCATCTGTAACATCCAAAGACTCGCTCAAGTCTCCGCGAAGTGGGGATACGCCGAAATCTCCCACTACGATCATAAAATCTGAGAAGTTGACCGCTGTGAAGAAAGAGACCACCGTCAAGGTAGAGATGAAAACGTCTTCGGTGTCTGTTTCCAAGACATCATCAAATACTACAGTGTCAAGCACAACCTCAACAAATGGGTCTACTGGGAATTTCAAATTGCCTAAGACTGGTGACTCCACGAGAGACAGGATCAGGGAGCTCCTCGCGGAGGCGTTCTCGAAGGTTCTTACAGAAGCTCAAGACGATCTCCTGCAGAAAGCCAAGATGAAGGATATTGTTCACGTGGCAGTCACTGTGGAGAGTGCGATGTTCAAGAAGCTGGGTCTTTCCAAAGACGCGAACAAGACGAAGTACAGATCGATCATGTTCAATTTGAAGGATGCTAACAACCCGGACTTACGAAGGCGGGTGCTTTTGGGTGAAATTGAACCAGAACAGCTGATGACTATGAGCGTAGATGATATGGCAAGTGACCAGAGGAAGGCTGAGAATAAGAAGATCAAGGACAAAGCTCTGTTTGAATGCGAGCGAGGGTTGAAAGCAGCCGCGTCAACAGATCAATTCAAATGCGGAAAGTGCAAGCAGAGGAAGTGTACCTACTTCCAGATGCAGACGAGGAGTGCTGATGAGCCTATGACAACCTTTGTGACTTGCGTGAACTGCAACAACCACTGGAAGTTTTGTTAGGAGTTTATCGGCTGTACCACTGTATCACTGGTCCATAATCACGGTAGATCCCCTTTAAAGGGTACACGTAGGATGATCTTAAAAGGTATAGTGAATGCTGGCTCCTTGTCAGAGCCCACACGGTCGTCATGTTGTCATTTGATTCCGTTCACGTGTAAAATTTTAGCACAGAGAGCCCCCTGCTTATGAAGCATCAGGATTTGCCTCTCGAGGTCCCGCCGGAAGGAAGAAGACTTCACTGGTGGAATCTCGGACTTCATCGACATTGTTTACTTAAACAAAGGTAATACTTTGGTAGAAATTTGCTACGCAGCGTTAGTCAGTAGTGTCTATACAGGATCGAGGTTGTCTGTTCAACCCTGTAATTTCCCACATTTGCAACTTCAAGATTGATTCTCTATGCTGCGAAGGTGGAGCAGGATAACGGTGGTTCTTCTATGTCTCCCATACCTCCTGCTTCTTGGAGAGTTTTGACTACTCAACACGTGATTTGGAAGTTACGTAGTCTCACCCCTTTGAATGGGGTTATTGTCTAGACTGCATGTCACATACTATTTCTCTGACCGGACCTCCAATTTTATGTTTGAAAGTTGCCTATTTCCTATCAAGGAGCAGGTGCTTGGCGTCAAGACAGTTGGATCAGTTCGAACTCTATCGCTGTCTCTTGACGCCACGATAAACAAGATAGCGGCAGAACTAATCTTTACTAGTCAATATTGCACAAAGAACAAAGTAAGTCATGATCACTCCATGCATTGCAGAGCAAATACCGGAAACATGACTACATGACTGAACTATGTGCATAGAAGCAGGTAATCTAGCTAGGTTAAGGACACTCTACTCTTATGCAAGCTCTGTGCTAAAACCTAGCAACCCTTGTACCAGTTATAGAGAAACCTTCACAAGGGTACCAGTATTAAAAGAGAGCAGTGCGCTCGAGTAAAACCTTGTTCAGTAAAGAAAGAAAAAGAGATAGGCAGAAATGGAGGGAAAACATGGAAGTTCCTGAAAAAGGATTTGGAGGAATCTCGTGTTTTTATTTACATTCATATGTGACTAACATGTATCAACGTCAAGAGCATTGAAACGAGCAACTCTCCAAATGATCGTGGTGCAGTACTAGTATGGTATATCGTTAAGAGTCCTTTGTACCAGATATGTGCGGAATTAACAAGCTGAGTATTCTGTTTCTTCGAGGACAGACTTCTCCTCTTCTTTTGAAATCAAGAAACAGTTCGTGCGCAAGCGGAGTGATCACATCGCAGATATGAAATGAAAAGTCTGACAGAAACTGAATACTGATCATTCCTTCACTTATCTTCATGAATATATGATATGAGTAAAAGCTGCCCGAGACATAGCTATACTATAAATGCTTCGCTCAATGCATAGGCCAATCGTGCTTAAACCCATTGAAGTCACTTCGGATGTGGTCATACCACAGCAAACTTACTCACTCTTTACACAGGACTGAGGGATTCACAACGCTGGACCTCCAAAGATGTCACAATGGCACTTTGATGATATTTGGAAAAACTTCAGGCTTTTGCAATTGATCATTATCACTAGATTTCATAAGGAAACGTTTTGCACGTACACTTGCAAGAAAACATAATGAGGTTGATATGTAAGGACAAAGACGATGAAAGATATTGCATGACCGGTACAACTAACTATTTGCAATAAGACCTGACTATTGGTTATGACTTTTGAAATTGGTTTAATCCCTCAATGTTTTTGTACATTGCTTGAAGCGCAGTTGGTATTTTAATGGAAAGCTTACTAAAATCTAGCACCAGTCTTCATTACATAACCTTATGAAGGAAGTGAGTAGGTCGAAGATGCTCACACTTGACTGTAACCGTGACATGATGCATGGAGGATGGTTGAATATTGATACTTCAAGATAATGGTTCCTCCGTTTATCAATCCAAAACCTCTCTTGTTATAGTTTCATCCAAAGATGGATGTAAAACAATCAAAAAAGTTAACTTAGGTATCCTCCCATACGTACCGAAGATGTTAAATTTGTCCCATCCGTGCTGAATAAGAAGTATCATATAGCTGAACCGGACTTGTAACAGGTCACATGTGAAACCGATAAATTACTAGAGCAATGTAACTCAGTCGACAATCTAGCTATTTATTCCGCAAGTCCATCAACCCTCGTACAAAATAGATAAAACCACCAAAATAAGAGAAAACAATTTATGGTGACTAGTCAAATCTGAGATTAAATGTGATATAACGTCCTGATGCAATCAAAACTTTCCCAGGATGTGATGACTACACTATATTCTGCAATTGGAGACTCTCATACTCATACTGTCCTCACACTCAATTCTTGTCAACCTGGGGAACGTGCGAGATGCTTGTAGTTAGTGATATACACACAGCGTTTTACAAAATCATCTCCTAAAAATCGTCCATCAGAAGAGCATACAAATGAGCCACATGCTCTTGCAAAGCGAGGACAGATTTCCCCAACTCCAGAAAGGTTCTACGAGATTTTTGTGGAAATACACATTCACAGTCCACAGCTGCCTCGAAGATCATTCTCAGTTGTTGAAATTTCGCTTCCACTTCCCTCTCCCTCTTCGACGCCATGGCCGACTTTGTGACCATTTCCGTAAGCCGATGTTGTATTCGGCTTGAAGATTCTCACTTTGGATCGGATTTCTTCTCGGATCTGAGCACTCCCTCTCCCATATTCCTCATGAAGGTCTTAGACATGTTCATGATATTCCACTCTAAGCGTCACTCTTACGCTCTGAGTCCATTTTAGGGGCCCGGAAACAGAAGCCAACGAGATGGAGAAGTAGATTAGAGTCTTCGGATCTGAAGGCAGGGCAATGAGAATTCTAGCGCAGTAGTGAACAGTCTGTCGTCTTCGATGCATAGCTCACGAACACACATCGTCCTTGGAAGGTATGGACCAGCTTGAATCAAGGTGGACAAAAGCATCGGAAATTCCGGATGTTGCAAGTCCGCACCGAGCTTGACGATGTGTTTGGGAACCGATCAATCATCCAACTTGCAGCCTGGCGGCTGCTTCTTTGGAGATGTCGGCGTTGGCAGGTTGAGCTTCTTCGACGACGCTGGAAGTGCTGTGAAGTTTCGTTCCACTATTTGAGAGATGGTTCGGGAGGCGGGAGGAGGGTCGAGTGGGAGGTCGAGATTTACAACCATTTGTGAGAGGAGCGATGCATCTGAACGTATAACCTGCAGGGCACTTCGGCATCGGTAATTCTCCGCCATAGTATCTGAGCTTGTTCTGCTGTCCTCATTGTCATCGACTGTACATCCTCTGATTTGTCACTTCGTGGAAACAGGCCTACTCACTCACTCACACACAGAGTGGAAGCTGAGCGGTTGAGGAAACTGGTAGTGAGTGATAAACAATGCTCAGGTCACATGAATGACTGATCTCTTGGGAGAGAGCTGGGTCCCCTCAACCAGCGGCAATGGACCTTGCCGATTGTTGCTGCTTCGTGGGGATCTTGATACCCTCGAGTCCCCATACCCTGCTCATGGTGAATTTTGACGTAGACTGTCTACCTGCGGATTCATCATGGGCTTGCCGGTATGGTCATGCATACGCCTCGCGAGATATGCTCTGACTAAGCCAGTCCATCGAAGTACTGAGCCAAATATGGTGCACCATCTCATCTGCTCTCATCTCCATAACCCACTTCCTTAAGAAGCTCGTTATTGTGGTGAGGTTGGAATCGAGCCAATGCAATTCCAGTATTTCGTATAGTTGGTGACAGAAAGATCAAAGTGGCAGTGAATGTTGAAACCTGGTGACCGAGTTCAGCAAAGAGAGGCGGTCAAGTGATTGTCATGTGATTCGTTTGTGAAGAATTCCATGTAGAAGCCTTTTGTGTTATGATTGTGTCTGAGAAATTATTGATTCTTGAGATTTAGGCCGTAACCACTTTGAAGACCTCTATCCATAATAAAATTCTTCGTTTTGCATGTCAGTAAGTGGCTCCTAATACATGACGGTCCTATCTCAACACTTTGCCACCCAAGATTGTAGGCGATCGAACCACGTTCACGAGTCTGCAGGAAAAGGAGAGGCAGCACCGTGGGGCAACTTCGTCCTTTCGGTTTAGATGTAGAGGTCAAGTCTGCCGGAATTTATGCTCATTCGTCATGCTGATGCATCAGAGAAAAAGGTGAATGCCTCTCTGACTCATCGAATAAGCTTGTCCTTGCTCGTTCAAGAAGCCACCTGAAGTCCGAAAATTGTCCAAGAGAAAGTCGTCAGGTTGAATGGGGCCAGAGGTTTCCTTCAGGTCAACTTCAGATATGATGATTCAGCCCTTGACGACTAGGGTCAGAATTTGAATGCCAGAGGCAGAGGAAGCGAGCTTCATTATATCCCACAGCGTTCTTGTACCGGTGAAGTGAGCACGAGATTCTTGGCAAGGTGTACTACACGAGAGATGGAGGTCCATGCATTAACTTGCTCTTCATCTACAGCAACTATTAAGGCTCAGTAACAATCCACATAATCCAGATTAATGTTTTGGAGAGAGTTGTAGAGTCGATCCTTGCGAGAGGTTTGCTGAAGATCAGATTGAGCCCTTGACGGGAATCAGCTTTTGAATGCAGGGCTGTATGATATTCCTGTACTCCTCTACACGTACAGTGAGTGAGCAGGAGATTCTGTGCCAAGGAGTGGAGCACGAGAGGTATGGAGTTCCATGCAGAGTCGTGCTCTTCGACCACAGCAACCTGTAAAGACTCGATCACTGCACACAGAATCCCGATTCGATGATACCCAAGGAGTCCTGTGTCCGATCTTTGTGAGGGGTTGGTCAAGTACACCGAAAACACGCCGTCATAAATTTGGCCAAATTTTGTTGCCATGCCTGTCAAATCTAACTGGTTGCTCAGATTGCCGGCCGTCATCAGAACGACAGGAGGGAGCGCCTAGGCCCCACGAGAATCTTCATGTTTTACTCCTTTGTCTTCGGGTGCACTATCATATTCACCTTGTAGATTAAGAAAAGCAGGAATGTGGAAAGATCTTCGAGAAGTCCAGGGCCTAGTGTCGAGGAGTCAAAGTGATGACGGTTGAAATCTCTTGGAACCGTCGTCCACGAGAGTCAGTAGAAGATGGCAAGAATTTAAGTCCGAAGACCACGAACGCCTCGAGGGCCGAACCATGCGACGGACCATCACTGTGCGAGAAAAGTCGGATTTCGCGCTCGCCTGTTCACATGGGAACGCGCGTTGAGGCAAGCGAGAGCCAGCAGAAGACCCTGTCCGGCGTGTCCGAGGGAGAAGAAATTGCTGCTCTCGCCTGTTTGGTGGAGCATTAAGATATGGAATGGACTGCACAGCTCACCATGCCCACGACTGTGTGGGGAGTCGGTATGGTGAGGGGAGGGCTGAGAGAATTCACTCGAGTTCAAAACTAGAGCACTCAGATTCTCTGTCAGTCACTGAGCTGTAGAATTGCGTCCCATGGCTCGAGAAAGAAGGGGTAAGTAAAAAGGCAATCTGAGCGTCTGCGGATCAGCATGGGTCATCATGCCTCGCCAAACAGAACGACCTTCGAGCTTGGACCCGGCACCGACCAGACCCGAGACTAGATCCGGGTCGAGGAACAATTTCAAAGGGAATCGATCTTGTGAGTTACATGTGGGCTTATCATAAGGTAGCAGCCATGCATTCGTCCCCAATCATCAACTCCCGTCAGGTTGTGGTCCAACGAGGCCGAGTTTCCACATCCGAAGGGCGCCATGCAGCAGGCAGGCAGGCAGGCAGGCACGCTGTGTGCAAACCATGGCGATAATCCGCCCCTTTATCTGGACATCTATTTGAGACCTAATCATCATGTCTGATCTCTGTTGGACCATTCTGGGAAATCTTCCACTATCGCTGAGCAATCCACGCTGCCCTCTAGACCTCTACCGCCCCGAGCCGAGCCGATCGGCCTCCCGAGCCCGCGCTGTCTCATCATGTATCGACGTTGCCACCTTATTCCCTGCGCCTTGGGCCCCTTTCTAGAACTTGTACCTCCGGCCTGTCACCTCGAGAACAGCCACTCCACTCCCCTCCACATCCATCCAACACACACCGTCGTCCATGTACACCTCACCTCACCGCGAGCAGGTCCAGCTCGCGGTTCGTTCCTTCTCTCTCTCTCTCTCTCTCTCTCTCGCCCTGCCCCAACGCAATTGGTGCTCCTAGAGTCCTACTGGCACCAGCACCACAAACCCATAAAGAAGTGAGACATTGCAGAGTTGGACGATGATGATAATCTAGGTCCACTGGTGCAACTTTGGTGCTGTACTGAAGTGTACTCCGAGGCTCGCTCGCTCGCTCGCTCTTGCGACGATCGAGTGAGAGCAAGGACGAGCAGGAGGACGAGGAGGGCAGGTATGCACGCTATCTATCTATCTGTCTTCGGATCTAAAGTACAGCGAGGGCGGGCCTAGTCGCAAGAGATCGCGAACATGATCACATGTGCACTGCACTGCACTGTGGTACGAGCAGGGTGGTTATAATGCTCTCGCTCGGGGGCTCAGGGCCTCAGGTCGCATTCGTGTACTCCCTCCCGAGAGTCAAGCCTTAACCCGGCACTCTGTACTTACTGCTAGTCCGACACCTAATCATACTCACGAGAGTACCGTCCAATTGTTGACGGTACGCGTGAGTATGATTGCCGTCTCGGCTCCCGAAGGTGGAGGTGGCGGGATTCGACATGGCATTCGATGAGATGAGATGCGATGAGATAAGCCCTCGCTCGGTCGCGCGTCTGCGAATGTGATCCGTCTGTTTCTCTGTCTGTCTGTCTCGTCTTCGGGTCGTCGTAGGGTGGTGCGAGGGGGAGGGCGAGGAGTTGCGCGCAGATCTTGTATCCTACGTGCTGGGGCTAGAGCTGGGGGTAGTGGTAACCCCCGAGAGGGGAAGCGAGGGGGCAAGGCCGGGGGCAAGCTGGGGGTTGCGGGGGAGGTGTAGATCCGTTTTTTGGGTGCAGATGTGTCAGGGGCACGGGGCGACCTTGCGGCGAGATTTGAAAATGCGCAGTTTATTGATGAGGTGGTGGGTCTGGGCCGGGCGAAACGAGTATTATAATGGCCGCGGAATCTTTGCTACGAAGCCCTCGCTCGCTCTCCCCAGAGTTGTCCGGATCGCATGGTTGGGTCCGCCTCACGGACGCTTGCGAAGTGCCGAGAGCCCAATTCAGATCGACACATCGACAGACAGACAGACAGACAGATAAGGCGAAGTCGACAACGACAGCGCGGGTACTGTCAGCGAGGAGCAAAAGAAAGAACGACAGACAGAAAGAAAGACGGTCGAGTGCACTCGATCGCTTTTACCCTTGCCCCTCTTCGGCCCCTCGGGCGCCCTCGTAGATCAAATCGAGTCTCGCCCTCAAAGCGTCCTCGTTCTGATGATTGCCGTGCCCCTTTTGCTTGCTTTTGGACGCAAACGGAGAGAGAGGAATGAATGAATGAATGAATGAATGAGGTCAGAGCGGGCGAGCGAGCGAGCGAGCGCCGGTGCCTGAACTCGACTCCGTTCGCAAAAGCAGCAGCAGCAGCTAAGCTGATCTGATCTGTTGCGTGCTCGGATCTTTCCAGAACGTATGAATGCGCAAGTACATGAGAATGATCATCTGACCTATTCCTCTTGCTCGTCCTCGTCCTCGGGGCTTTTGGCGAGAGTCCAAAAAAAGAGCCGCTGCTGCTGCTTTTCCGGAAGCCTCGAGAGCGCTGGCTCTACAAATATCTGGACCCGAGTGCCGTCGTCGTCCTTGTCGGTGAGCCATCGAATGCCCGCCCCGAGCGAGCTTTAGAAAATTCCCGCACCTCCTCTCCTCTGGCTCTCTCTCGGGTGCAGGCGTTTTGCAGTTTTTCTAGTTGAGCCCATGATGATGGCAGCCCCCAGCAGTGTACGAGCAGATAAGAAGCCGACGCCCGAGTCGAGTCGAGTCGAGTCGAGTCAATCGGCTCTGACTTCTGCACTGCCTTTCTTCTTCTTCTCTTCGCCGAATGATCCACATCTCCGCTCATTAATCATGAATGAACCGCCGCACTAACTCTGCGTTCGAGCGCTGAACGCCATCCCGACTCACTCAGTCACTCACTCACTCACAAATGAGAATGAATGAATGATCACAAGCGGTGGCTTAAGGAGTGATGATACCCCACCCGTGACCGAGTCGTTCTAATGGGAATTTGGAACAACACCAGCCCTGGGACGAATCTGACGAGGCTCATGGAGAAGGAAATTCGATCGTGCAGGCCAAGGCAAAGGCAAAGGCAAAGGCGAAGTTTGCAAAGGAAAGGGATCGGGAGCAAAAGACTTGCCCGATCATAAGTTCGATCCTTGCATGGAACGGAGCTCACACATGGAATGGTGATTGTCTAAATGATGACATGGGATGGGACTCCTCAACCAAGGAATCAATGGGTCAGTCGATCTGAACCAGCAAGCCGCGTTCGTTCAGCATTCGAGTGCGCAATGCAAGGACGAAGCATCAATGGATCGTGCATGATATCCTGAGCTCGCAAGTGTTCATTGACCTCGTATAGTTCTTTTTCTTCGTATATCTACACATGTAGATATACGAGTTTGATTCCGTCATTATACCCTTATCTCCCGGGCTGGAGATTGTAGAATTTTCTCTACAATGCGTTACGGAATCTGTGGGCTCACAATTCAGTCATCGAGAAAATATCTGTGTGAACTCAGAGCTATGCACTCAATAGATGAAGATGCAACCTTTGACATCAAGTGTCTAGTCGAGGCATAGATAAGATAGTATGGAATTTGAAAAGTCGACTGATCGAAGGGAGATTGACAAAGGAAGGAAAGGCATGAGTTGAAATGGTGTCACTCACTGTAGAGGAACATCATCGCTCGGGAATCTTATTATTATTATTATTATTATTACAGTACTTTGAGGACTGTACAGTACATGCTGAGGGAGCAGCAGGGGTCCGATTGTTGTCTGCAGAGTTTCGAAAAGGGACGGAACTCGCGAGCTTCAGGATCTGAAGAAACCACGAGAACCGAACTGAGATCTGACCAAACTCCTGAAGGCAAGAAAGCTTACAGAAGGCGGATGTGGAGCGTGCGAGGAACAACTGGAAGGGTCAACAATATGATCGACATGTTTCAGGTTAGTGCAGGAGTCACCAAAAAGCTGCTCTCGCACATAGTGTACGCAAGGAGAGGCAAGCGAGCGTAGTAAAAGCTGTCGGGGCGTGCGGAGAAGACGTGGACAGCACAATCATGGACCAAGTGGGGCTTCAAACTGGGTTATGGTCGAGATGGAAAAGAATAGAAATGAGAATGTATGTGATGATGGAGGACCCCAAGGCCCAGCAGTCGTTTCGCATGCTGTTTAGTTGAGCAGGACTAGATGATCTCAGACCTGTCCAGCAGACACCAAACTCGCTTTTCGTTCAAATTATCAGCTCGATTTTGCCAGTTCAGGTGACACTTCAGTGCCTTGTGCTCAAGTGTATGGAATAATGGAAACACATAGTCCGAACAATTATGACGCACATAAAGGACTCGTATATCACAGGACCGAATCATTCACAAAGGCGAAATGAGGGAAGGCAGTTCAAGGGACGGATAGAAATCGTGAGAACCTCATTACACACTCGGATTGCAGCTCTTTTTGTTATCTCATATGTTGCACATACAGCTCGTTTTTCCGGTAAAATATACGTGTCTAAACTGGTTCCCTCCATTTTCTGAGGCGAAATGCCCTTAGAAATCAGTAAAGTCCTAAAGTCTTAAAATCTGTAAACTCCAATGATAGACGATGGTTTTAGAATAGAATATATGGCAGAGAAGCACGGAAAAGTTCAAAGGGGCAAAAACATGATGCAACTACGATACTATGTGAGTCTCGATTTGCGCGAAGAATCGGTCAGGCTAGAATGTGACTCCTCGACATTTCTCCAGGTCGGTTGTAGATACGACTAAGTCTTAAAGTTCATGCTTTAGAACTTCATCATGTCATGGATGTTTGCAAAGAGCAAAAGGCGCACC